GCCGCCATGGCTTGACTTCATGTCTTTCCCCGATTTAAATTCTTTTATTTACTTCGTGTCCTTCTAAGTCAGAGTGTTCTCACTGTCAAAAGAAAGCCAGAGTGTTCCGAAAGTCCTGTTCTGTGCTCGAGCACATATGCTCGCAGAATCATCCCCGTTCGCTCTCCTCGAGATCATGGACCCATCACGTGAAGGCCCAAGTATTCTTTTCTTTACCAGGGTTGATGACCCACGTCACAGACGACGCCGTCAGTCACGTTGTTACCGCTCTGACGGAAGCACAAATTATGGGCCGCCAAATCCGAGATGCTGGACGAACGGCGACGTTGGAGCCCATTTATTGTTCCCAACCGTTGCACTGACCGGATCTAAACTGCTGAATTGTCTCAAAAGAATAAATAGACTGTTGAATACATGAATTGAGGGGCCAACATGTCAAAATAAAATAAAATTGAGGGGCCAATACGTTCAGTTCTCCTTCTCCCAATGCTTATCCATACGTAGGCATCAATTTTTTCAGCTCATGTCATTCAAAATTTGAACTCGTGCATATGCCTTGTCTGCCGCACCAGAATTTTGGAGTAGACACCTGTCTGCAGACAGCTATGAATGCAATTTGCAATGAACTGTTGGAACCATTCAGCTACAAGTACAATCTTTCAATTTACCCAACAAACTCTAAGACAGTACCAAAAACATAATTCTGGAGGTAGAACAATCAACGCCCACCCACATCATAATTCCCAGATCAAAACCCAGACCAACTCACAACAGATTCAGTACAGTTTATTCGAACCACAATCTATTTATTCAGACTAGTTCCACTCAGGAAGTATCAAAGAAATACATTCAGACACACTTGTATCAACACACGCAAAGGAAATTTGCAGCTTCAGCATGAGGACACAAGCTACAACAAACAGTCTGCATTATCTGCAAATTGTCATACACATAAACCATTTATCCTAACCATGCAGGTATTGTCCCAGGTACATCCCTACTTTTTCAGTCAACTCTCTTTCAGACATAGCTCCGCTGCTTTGTTGCAATTGTTCTACCGGTGGCCTTCGACTCCACAGTTCTTGCATCGGGCGGTCTTCTAGCCTGCTATGGCACATCTCCGCGGTTTGGGTACGTAGTCTTTTTGTTTCCCTGTCGCCGGCAAGTAGTGCAAAACATGGTCCTCTTCCTCAACCCTTCATAAGGCACTTCCTACTGCTGGTCGCAGGCCTGCCCATCTCCTTCCTCTTTGTCGGTGGCAAAAGTCCTGCCAATCTGTTCCCAGACTCATTTGTTGAATTAACATCATCGTTGCCAAGGCTATTTTATCCTCTGTTCCCAGCAATGACAAGTGCCCCTTCAGTCTGAATTTGATTCACAACATCACCGTTTTCAGAATACTGTCTTCCAGTCCAAGCCCATTCCTAATCTCCACAAAAGGTTGCATTTCCACCATGCAGTTCTTGAAAAGAGAAATCAGACGGTCATAAGCCTCAACACTTGTGTCACCCAAACGGACAGGGCTCCATGGCATGCATATACATATTGAAATGTCCATAGCTAAAAGGATTTCTGTGGGCATGATCTTTCTGGTAGTGCGTAAGATGACGTGGGCCTCTCTTCACTATGTGCTTCTGCGGAATTTCCTTAATGCGGATGAAGTCCAGTACCTGCAATTATCATCAACATCAAATCAGCAAACCTCCTGAAAATGAAGTTGAAAGTTTCGGACATTCGCACCTCATGATTACATACCTTCAGCACATGACTGTAGAGTACTCCCATGTGAGCGAATTGACTACACTCACACTCCTCTCCTCCACTGAGCACACTTTATATGAGACCCCACACCATTTCTCTCTCCTTTCTGCTTCAGTGTGCATGATAGCGTACAGCTTCCCTTTCTTGATCTCCTCAACCTCGTAAGCATCGCACTCATGTAGAATATGTCCAAATTGCTCGAACATTGCTCTTGTATATATCTTCCCAGCATGTCTCTCTATGGCCAAGTTAGTTCTCATTACAGGTCTCCCCTGTAAAACAGAACCACACAAGTTAATGTACCACTTTAAGCATAGATACACCAGCGGAGCTTCAGAGAGGCTACATCGGTCATGGCCCGCCCAGCTTTGCAGCACCTGCTCCTATTACAGCCAACCCACGGGACGAGGCAATCTCAGTTTGGCCTGCCCAGCCCGCCCAACAATGTGCTGCAAGCTCCTCAGAAATTCACTTGAAACCCAAAAAGCTTTCAACCTTCTCATCACGAACCAAAACCGATGCTACGATGCTCTGAAAATGGTTGTTCATGCCGACAAACAAGCCAAAGGGAATATTATACATGTTTGTCCTATAGGTCGTATCGAAGGTTATGACATCACCAAAGAATGTGTACTGCAATTGGCTATTCCATTTGCCCACATCAGACTGCTGATCCTCCCCTCTTTGTCAGCTTCCGCGCTATATGTGAAGTGCTGATCCTTTGAACCAAGCTCCGCAAACACTTCCATAGTCTTCCTTAAATCATCCTCGGCCTGATCACGGCTAATTTTCCCACACAAGTTCCTTATGGCTCTTTCTGTGAATGGCACATTCTCCATGGATCCAAAGAAACTTACCATGATGCTATTTTACCAGGTCTCAAATGTATAAATCAATGTGCTTGTGGCGATGGTCAGTGTATTCTTTGTCCAAACATAGGAGACGAGGAGTGGTTGTGCTCCTCACGGTGTTCTGCTATGTACCAACCATTGACCTTGGATCTCAACAACCTGATGAGAGCAGGGCATTCTCAACGGCACGACTGAGTGTTCTCAACCCCCGCCTCCCCCTGTCTAAACAAACAACAACAAAGAGAGAACATTTTTTAGGAGATAATTGCTGCAGGAAATATTGTCAAATGCTAACAAGATATAAATTGATTATTCCATAGCACACAACCACAAACAATCTCCCACATGCATTTTGTCCTCTCCACATTTAGCATACCCTTTTTCGTATATAATGCCAAATCGTTTCTCCCACGAATACAAGTTGTAGAAGTCGTAGGCTTCAAATAACATAATCAAAGCTTCTACCCAAAGTTGGCACTATGTCATTGTCCCCAGGATTATTGGCAAACCAGGGATAGCCTTCTCCAGAGCAGTAGTCTGGTTAGGACATGGCGTCCTTCCCGACACAGCAGTAGCTATCCTCACTCTGCAACCAAGAAAATCCCACAAAGAGATATGAATATCATGGATAGTTTTACAGACAGTGCTAGCTAACATTTGCAAGTACCCTGATATTCTACTTTTGGTTTAGCTGCAAAATCAACATAGCCAAATCACACCTTGCACAACTTTGTTAATAACAATTTCCTGATTTCACACACTAACGGCAACATGTTAATTACTTCAAACCACAAAATCATGCAATGTCCCTACCCAGCTTATTCTAGTTCTGAATTTCTGAAGCTTGTACTAATAGACGAGTCTGCCCTGCATCCATATTTACAGGGCCACACACATAGCAGTTCAGCCAGTACCAACATAGGCACCCACTCCCTTACACAATTTGCATGCGCAGATTGTTTCAAACCAGAGTGCACTTGACAGTCCACCTAAGTTCTTTTGCCCCCATCTCTACAAGCAGAGGGCGCCTAAATCACATTATCTGCTGAATAATCATAATTTGGTCGCACAAATATTGTGGTTCTGCAGACTGACATACCTTCTTTTCCACCCAAGAGCTATAGGGTTGATCTGTCTAATAGTGCTCTGACCCTTCTCGGCCTCCACCCGCCGCCCCTTCAGCGGGTACAGATCTGGCCATTCGCACCCAGCTCAACCATAGGCGCGACACTGGGTAGTATCGCGGCTGCATCAGAATATCGCTGCCGTTCACCTCTTCCAGCACGGTGGTCCTAGGTACCCAGATTGGAAACGGAGGCTTTCATCTTAGCGAGCACCACCCAAAATCACGCACCAGAAAATACAGAAAAATTGGACAGATTGCTCACCTCTTAATCACCTGCATAAGGAACTCAATTTTTGGCCGTTCCGATCGGCCCTGATCGCGCACGAGAATCGCCGATGAGCTCCGCCGCTTCCGCAAGTGACTAATCCAGGCAGCGGAGGTAGGAGACAACCCTAGCGAGCTCACCATCCCTGCATTTACTCAGTGCCTGTCCCGGTAACCAGAAAGGAAGTTTCCTGGGCGATGGATCGGGAAGGACATAACGTCATGTGCCACGGCTCTGCTTTGATCCGTCCACGGCGTTCTAGCTCCGTCACTAACATGGCCCACAGTCCAGGGTTCACCGGCGCACGTGACATGGCCAATGGAGTGGATCCCGTCGTATCCCGATGCCATAACGAACCGCCCAGATAACGGGTCCATTTGTGCTCGAGCTCAATAACTCTGCGTCCAGAGTGTTCTCTCTATATAAGAACTGGGACTTCTGTTTTTTACTTAAGGCAAATTTAATGTCATGTCATCTACTACCTACCAAGGAAACCATATTCCATTTCACGTTTCATCTCCAGAGAGTAAGGAGCATGTTTTGAGTTGCGTGTTTTGATTGTTGATCATGGGAGGGAGT